TATATATATATATAAATAAAAGGATGAGATTGGTTGATGCAGTCATGTTGGATATTGAACATTATATTCATTTACTTCATTAATAAAATTTGAGTTTTGATGGCCAAAAATACCTCACAATTTCATAGAAATTTTAAAAAATTAATTTCCTAAGGCTTAATTTTCAAATAAATTAGAGAGGTGGACAAATGAGACTACGAAGAAAATTTTAGGAATGGTACAGGAAACTAGGCACACGTGATTGGCGGATAAGACTTCAAACTGCGACTCTTGAGAATCTTCTACATAAGTTTCTCAGCTCCAAATTTTCCCAATGTCATGGGGACTAATTTTTATTTTTATACTTAAAATTATTATGTGCTTGTGTGATTTAGTTTTTATCGAAGTTAATTTATTATTTTTTGAGTTTTTTATTTTGTAATATATTTCATCATGTACTATTTAAGAGAGAGACAGTTTTTAATATTAGAAAGTGCATTGTTTATATAATAATTTATAAGATTCACAAGATAAATGTGTATTTATTATACATTTTTATCATTAATAAAAATAATAAAACTAAAAATTGTTATTAATTTTATTAGTTATCCAATTAAAAATATCCATATGTTATAGATATTAAAATTAATGTTAATTTTTTTATTTTCGATGTAAATTAATGCATGATTAATAATAAAAAAAGTACAATAAATGCACCATTATTTTATAATCTAAAGGCACAAAATAGAAAATAGAAAAACCCTAATTTATATTATGTGGTTCAAAACCTTTTCTCTTTTCTTTTCTTTTTTTTATACTTACAAACATTATCTGTTTTTTTTTTTTAATCTAATTTTTGAAAATCTTTTCTATCATAAAATTAAGTTGAAGTTGCACCAAATATATACATGGACAATGATACTCTCCAATTCGACACATTTTTAGTACTTATTTGATTTAATTATTAAAATATAATAAAAATATAATCGATTCAGGTAGTTTTTGCATACTATATGCATAATTGCATTCCTAAATTTTTTTGTTTCTAATTTCAAATCAAGAAATAATAATTTTTAATAAATATATGTATAGTATATTAAAACAAAAAGTGCACTAAGCAGTGTACTATATATATATTTGAAAATTGCTTCTACTTTTTCCTTTAAAATGCCTGTTTTTACGTCTAATTAAAGTGATAAAAGTTGAAGCTACCAAAATTTTGAATTTGATAAATGTTCATTCAATATTTCTACAAAAATTGTACTCATATTGCACTTCCACAAAGAGAAAATTTTATTAGGCTTTTAAAAACATACTATATATTATTATAAGGACTGAAATCAAGTTGGACGGCCGCTATAGCCAAGGGCCTTTTGTAACTAACCGACAATACACCATTAAAAAGTTTTCATGTATCTTAATTGGCTGCTAAACAAACAAGATCTAAAGTCAAGCTGAGAGATGATAGATGCAGCATATTAAAAATAATATACTTACAATATTATATAGTGTTGTACACAACTTGATGTATTATTATTGTATAATAAAATTAAAATATATTATTACCCAACAATATATAGCGTGTCGCATCCAACTTGACCCACAGTTGATAAAAAATGTAAATCTAACTTACAAATTCATAACTCCTACCATTGATTGATATATATATATAGTTTACAAAGATTAGTAATTAAATCATCATTAAATCTATTGTTAAAAGTACAGATAATACTATTACTAAATAATATAATAGATTAGATTGAATGATTATTTATATATAAAAAAGGATGAAATTGGTTGATGGGTCATGTTGGATATTGAACATTATATTCATTTGCTTCATTAATTAAATTTGAGTTTTGATGGCCAAAAAGATCTCACAATTTCATAGAAATTTAAAAAAAAAATTAATTTCCTAAGGCTTAATTTTCAAATAAAT